CTATTTATGCATTGCATTGATTCCTTTGAGGCATGCGGACTGCACATGCATACTGCGTGTGTCAGGGTCAGTCCTGATTAGATTGATGTCACTTTTATTACCTTGTCTTTTCACTTCCTGTTTTATTTTGGTACTCATTTCCTCTCTCGTTTTAGGCAGCTTCACTTCCTGAGTACCTTCCTGCAATCAGGATCTGCCACAGCCTAATGCAATTCACCTGGTGTATGTGCTCCTCTCTTGTTTGTTAGAGTATTTAGTTCCCACCCTTGCAGCTTCCCTTTGCCAGTTCGTCTTAGTCTTTTGAGCTTAGCGTTCCAGCCTTTTTGCCTGTTAGATTTAGCTTTCTTGTGTTTTGACCCCTGCTTGGATTTGGACCTGCTTTGCCTCTGCTTTTTCATACTTCTGTTTCTGCTGGATTTTTTGTTGTTCAACCCTGGACTGAATTAAAAGAACTTTGAGTTTTAATCACTGTGTCAGGTCTTGCATTTGAGTCCTTCATTTCTGAGCCTTGTGACAGCGTGCACACTTCAACGGAGCTTCTTAATTGACATACGCATACGTGCGCTGGACACTAGACGCACCTGCGACGTTGTTCACCATGGATCCCAGTCTCTTTGACCAAATAAAGTAATTCTTAACCGATGGAACTATGCCCCTTGGCTTATCTGCATTCCAACAGAGCAATTTTCGACGAAAGTCAAAGGCTTTTGAAGTGCAAGGTGAGATGGGTCCTCGGGAAATGGCGAGGGTATAATGTCCGAGGGACTTATACATTTTCTTATTTTTCTTGTTGTAAGAAGTACCAGAATTTGCGTCGTTAGTTATACATATATAATTGTTTTGTTTTTAAAAAATTTTAGATATTGCAGCTATTTGTGTTCTTTTTGATGGTCTATAATTGATAGTTAAGTGTCCATTTGGGAAGTGCGCTCTAAGACGAGCTTGTGCATCTTTGAACGCATATTTAGTGTTTCTCTAAGACTTTTTTCAAAACGTGGTCAGCTTAACATAGTTTACTTCTTGTG